GATGGCTAATGCTGACCACCATACAAATGACTTATCTCCTAGCTGTAAAGATCACCAAATCTTAATGGAGCACTTTCTATTGGATAGAAAAGGATGTCCATGTCCGAGTACTAACTAATTCGGTGCTAAGAGCATAAAAAAAAACAAATGATGTTAGACAATGGTGCTCCAATTTTTTGTGGGGGCCTACTATATAACCAGCCACCCCGTGACTAATATTTTCTTCTAAATATTTTTTTATCAGCAATTTCTTTTAAATAATTAATTTAGTTAATTAATTCATTTAATTTAATTATTTAAATAAAATTAAAATTAATTAATTTTGATAGAACAATGCCTTTTTTGGATGAATTACTAAAAGACAAGAAGAGAGGTAGAAAACTCCGCTATAATATCTACAGAAAGAAAAAGAAAAAAAATGTAAACTCCTTATTGCCCTAATGAAAAGTCCGAATTGATTATAAGATAATTTTTGGTTGCCTACTTGTCCATAAAAGATAATTTTTGCTTGACTACTTGTCCATAGAATATGAGTACAAAAAGTCCGAATTGATTAGTAATGCTGACCACTATACAAATGACTTATCTCCTAACTGTAAAGATTACGAATATTAATAGATTACTTTCTATTGGATAGAAATGGTTGTCATTGTCCGAGTACAACGAGCATAAAAACAACAATTCATATATGTTACAAAATGGTGGTCCAAATTTTTTTTGGGGCCTACGATGTAACTGACCACGTACCCCGTGACTAATATTTTTTCCTTACGGAAAAGGAGAACAAGTTCTTTAAGGAACCATTTCGTGATTGTTCAGAAAAAGATTCGTTAAGGAACCTTTCAGCTTTCAGGAGAGACTTCAACTAGTCAACTCTTTGGAATTGGAACGTAAGCATTGCATTGCTCCTTCTTCCACACGACAAACTACTTAATCATTGGATCCATTATTTATTAAGAGTGCTTTATTTTACCATTTAGATTATAATTATATTATAAATTGTTTTTTTAAATTGTGATCTAAGTTAAATGTATAATAAATGTATTAGTTTACAATTAATTTGTGTAAAAAGTATAAATATTAACTTGAATTGATTTAATTAATTAAAATTATTTATGTGTCTGTAATATTAAAATAAACATTAACTTTTACAAATTTTTATGCAAATTAATTATAAAAAGTATATTTATTACCCCTAAGCACATGTTAGAGAAATCTAATTTAAAAATGCGATTTATTAGATGGGAAAACAGGGTCAAATATTAGGGAGTTCAAATTTAATTTGCACAATAAATTTTTAATTGTTTAAATTGTACAATTCAAATTTGTATTGCACAATAATTTTTTAAATTTATTAAGAAAAAAAAGTGAAAATTAAAATGTTTTAACATTTAAAATACCAAGATTCACTATAAAATTATTTAAATACTCTTGATAAATCTTTATTGTATATTGATTCATTAAAAACATTTAAATAGTTTCATAAAAAATTTTAAAATTTTAATTATTAGAACGTTTCAATTTTCTACAATCTTATTTATTAATATAAAAAAATAGTTTATAGGTCAAAATGTACCTTTACTAACTGCTCTAGTGTGGCAAGTCTAATTTAGGAAGTTTAATTTGAAGGTTGCATTAATGCGATGGCCAAAAAAAAAAAAAAAGAAGTTATATTTTAAATTGGAAATACTTCATTTAGTAAAGTCCACATGGTTTGTATATGTTGTAAACCCATCTCTCCCTCTCCTACCTTGGCAAACCATCGTTGTGCTTAATTCTCTGATAGAGGCATTTCAACAAACATTTGGCATATTTCGTGTTCTTCTCTCTCAATTTTCCTTTTATAAACATACTGTGGGGCAACGTAGCTTAGTTTGTGAGAGACGAGGTTAGAGCTTGGTTTGATTAAACGTACCTTAGTTTCCTTTTTATAAACTGCATATATATAATTAATTAATGGATTCTGATTGTATTTGAAGAGTTTCAAGCTTACAAAAACTGGAATGTTCATGACCAAAGTGGACATCAAGCCATGTTGGACAGTCGTCTAACGTTATCTTAAAAGTGAAAAAGCATTGTGATGAAGATATGTGTGGAATTCGGGATATGTATCTGTTTCCTCAAAAATCCTCTAGTGGCCTCGCACGTGTGAAATCTGATACGGGCGTGCCACTTACTTTGCTGAAAGTAAGAAAGGAGGACTTTCCCAACGACCCTCTCCTTCCTCACGGTCGACCTCTTCGCAGATGGCGGGAAGAACGTTGGATTAAAATGAAATTTGCGCCTTCAGACGATTTGCAAGAGGGAGGAATACCTTCCTGCAGAATGGGTTACGAAATTTGCTTTGGACAACTCTAAGGACTTAAACACTACCGTGACTTACAATTAACAAATCCTAATTATTCTAAATTACTTGCAATTTAAAATAAACTTACGAGAAAGAAGTGTTCCCAAATTAAATTAAACATGCTTATGGAAAAATTAAAAGTGCAATCTATTGACAGATTCAGAAATTAAATTGCTGCAGATCTGGAAACTTAAACCTAATTAGCACTGAAATTAAACGTGAACAGTGAATAAATTGAAGAAACTTGAAATTGGAAAGAAGCTTGAAGGCCACATAAGTAATCATTGAAGCAATGCTACTTAACATAAACATTAAATTAATTACAAATGAAAAGAAAACAATACCTTGCATAAACTTGAAGGATTGAAGTTCATTGCATGAAGGAAAATTGTTTTAACTGAATATAGGAATAAATTTGTCTACTGGAATGAGGAAAAACAACCTAATTCTAATGGAATCTGTGCTGAAAAACCGAAATCTGGAAGCATGTGCAGAGAAAATCAAAGTATGAAAAGTTGTAGTTGTTTGAGTAGGGCTGGCCGTGTGTTCCTCTTGTGCCGAAGTTCCCTTTTTGTTCCTTTTGTGCCGGCAGTTGCTCAATCATAGGTAGTTTGTTGGAGTAGTGGGACACCTCACATTTTGACTTAGTCTAATCCCCTTCCAGATTTCGCCACCTGTACTTTATCAGATAAAATCTCCTTTTAAACTGTGATCTTCCCCTATTTTCAAGCTGCCATTATCTCTTTCTGTTTCAAGAAGATAATTACTCCATAAAACATTATCTTTACCTCTCCTATCTTGCCAACACATGTGCTGATCTGTTATGGGGCCCAGAATCCGAATCTGACATGGCTCAAACTCCTCCAGCCAATAAAAGTTTTACACGTGGCATTAATTTAAAATTTTGCAATTTATGGTGTAAACAGTATCTGCTCTCGGAAATTTTCTTTCTTATCTTCTCT